CTGTAAAGTTTGAAATTTATAAGGTTTAATATAAGTAAATTTCAAACTTTACAGAAAAGCAATGTTTCAATAAGAAATAAAAGCAACTTTTCAGATATACGTTTGATTTTGGTCTATCAGATATACAGATTTTATAATAATTAAATTCTTTATTAAATAATAGTTTAAAAACTATCATAAAAATTATTATTATAAGTTGGCTTCGCAATTTAAAAATAAAATTTGAAAAAATTTAATATTAAAAATTATACCATATGTTTTTTATGAAGAAAAAAATCTAAATAAACTTTAATATATTATATATAATTAAAAATGTGTTTATAATTAGATCAACACAACATCGCCATTGATTTGTAAATTTTGTGACATGTCATTTAAAATTGTGATTTCATTATTTAAAATTTATACATGGTCACTTGTTATTAATCAAATCACTGGTCAATATGATACCAAATTTAGTACAGGTTTGTTAAAATTGTCAAAATATTAATAATGTATAACATAGTTTCTAAATATATAACATTATTTAATTGTAACTGTTTATACACTGTATAAAAAGCACAACTTTTGTAAAACATTAATTTAAAAATTAAAAATAGATTCTTTATTGCAATCAAATTAAAAAAAATAAAATCACATTATTTTATAATGTTACAGTTAGTAAATAATAATTTGTAGGTCAAATGACTCGTAGTCCTAATGACCGAATACTTGTCCGATTAATATAGAGATGAAATAGATTTAAAGAAAATTCAAAGTTTACGCCATTAAATATTAAAAACTCGTGTTTTTATGACATCTGATAATGACATCCACTTTTACCGCTCACATAGTGGACCAGTATTTACCGGAAACGCCGATCGTCAATGTGATCCGTGATATAATCAACGTCAATGAGCGCGCCGGTATGCTGGAGGAGGCCTTCTATGTGGTGGACGTGGAGAACATCATCGAAAAGCACCGAAAACTCCTTAAATACATGCCGCGAGTGAAGCAATCCCTCGCCGATAGTACTGGAAATACTCGCCGGACTGGGAATAAGTTTCGATTGCGCCTCCAGGGTATGTCCACAGATCAGTTAGCACTGGTAGGTATAGATTGACACTTATTGAACTTATTTTACCAGGGCGAGATTGAGACAATACTGAAACTAGGTGTTAGTCACGACCGAATTATATACGTCAATCCTGTCAAAGCCCGTTCGCATATAACGTTTGCCGCTGAGGTGGGCGTCACAAAAATGACGTTTGACACAGAGTACGAGCTCCATAAAGTACAGCGACTGCATCCCGGTGCTGGCATGGTGTTGCGCATACTTGTATCAGATAAATCCGCTAAATACCCCTGGGTAAGAAGTTTGGAGTTAGATTGCACCGGGTGCGCGACCTATTGTTAGTGGCCAAGCAACTTGGTGTAAACGTAATTGGTACTAATTTCCATGTGGGCAGTCTATGTCAGTCCGGTGAGGCATATTCCAGGGCTATTCGCGATGCTAGATATGTGTTTGATCTGGGTAATGTGTTAGGCTTCAACATGCATCTACTAGATATTGGTAACGTATTAAATTGAAAAGTTAATTTATCAATATAGAAGCATATTCAAAATTTGGGTTGATTCTTTTAAATTAAAATATTTTTAATTTATCAAGGTGGTGGTTTTTCGGGAACCATCACTAGTTTAAATGAAACCTCGATCGACATGGCCCAGACTGTTTCAAATGCCCTGGAGTATTATTTCCAGGCTTTCAACCAGACAACTGATTTCACCGTTATATCGGAATTTGGACGATACTATGTATATCAATATAATTTAATTAGGAACATTTACCTAGTACGTTGACACAAATGTCTCCCGTATATTAAACCTGTCACTAGTCAATATTAAGTAACATATTGTATTACATCAACTATTTTATAGTTACTATCGACTCCCTTACTTTCGCAGCCCATACGTACATGTTGAACAACCCACTATCAATAAACTAAATTAAGGATTTTTAATATGTACAAAATATTTTAACCCTACGACCCTGGTAGGTGGACACGGCGTATACATTGGCCGCCGTAATAGAGGGCAAAAAGCGTGTCATTCTGGACGACGACAAGAGTAATATCCGCCCGGAAATGATGTACTATATTATGGACGGTGTGTACCAGTCGTTTAGGGATGCCTTAGTCGAAAATGATTTCCATGATCCCATTCCCCTCAACCCCCATAACCCAAATGAGCCTCTATATAACACCACAGTATGGGGTCCGACGTGCGATAGTGTCGACGCCGTCCGGAAGGGTTTTTGGCTACCGGAGCTGAGAATCGGTGAATAGATTTACTTTGATACTATGGGCGCCTATACCGTGGCCGAAGGTAGCGAGTTTAATGGGTTTAAAGTACCAAGACAATTGTTTTTTGTGTCCGAGAGAGCTCGACAGACGATTAGCGCAATGAATAATCGGGATAGGATTTCTGAAATATTGGCTACCGGTCCCATACCTACTGAAGGACTAGTAGATGTCGATCTCCATCAAACTCGTACTCCCCATCAACATCAATCAATACATTATGTTCTGGGTTTGGGTTGTACTGTTTGCCATAGTTGAAACTGGAAGACTTGGTAGAGGCCGTGGGCTGTGCTGCACTTGAGGTACGGGTGCGGGTCGTGTTGGACGGGGAGAACGCAGGAGGTTCTGGAGGTCTGGTGATGACGTGGAGTGTCTAAGCGGTTGTGTAATTACTTTTCCAGACCGTAGTTTCCTGTTTTGATCAGCAATTGTGCCGGAGTTTGTCGAGCGCTTTGTTTGACAATTAATAAAATATTATTCGGGTTCGGATGTCCTCTGGCCAATCCTACCGACTGTACCAATTGTGGTGTATCGGGAAATGTGACCACTAATAATGAGAAGTTCTAAACGTGATTGGTCCAAGAGACCACCAGGGTAACACCAAATAAATATTATAATTGCCTGAAAGGCGTGTTTTGTATAAATAATTGCTTTATTAGAACTTTAACATAAAAATACAATTAGTTTTGAGAGACAATACTTTTAGTACACGTAAGCAGACCAAGAGATAGAGAGACACTGAGAAGTATAGGTTACGGTTTGGGACACATATGGCTTATACTTAATTAAAAGTATGGCGGAATTTAATTTCAAAATTTCATTACATCCCAATATTATTTTCAAATATTTATTATTTTCATAAAATACATACATATTATAATTTTTTTAAACTTTAAATAGTTTTCTGTTTGAAATATCAATATAACTAAAATGAAGTTGATTTTATTATATTAATATTACATTAATTAAAAATAACTTTTTCTTTAGTATTTAATTAAAACAAACTCATTATAAGCAGATAATTAGAGGCAGCGATACATACAAACTGATAGAACTCATAGGAATTCATGGGAAACATGTCATAGCAATAGAATGTGATCTCAAAATTTTGAAATTAAATTCCGCCATACTTTTAATTAAGTATAAGCCATATGTGTCCCAAACCGTAACCTATACTTCTCAGTGTCTCTCTATCTCTTGGTCTGCGTACGTATTTTTCGAACTCCACCTAATTTATTAATTAAATATTTCAAAACAATAGAAATACAATAGTTTGTTTATTATTGTATATTTGAAAACTTAATTATTATACTAATTAAGAATTATATATAAATATTATTGCCCTCATTACATTACTTATAAGTCATTTCTCATATTTTATTCATAAATATTAATTAAATATTTAAATATATTAACAATACAATATATTGTGTATTATAAGTACAGTATTTGGTAATAAAAACTTTCATACAAATTAAGAATTATAAATCAATATATTTGATCTCATTAAAATTTTAATTAAATTTCTATTATACTCTAAAACAATTGGAACTTTATATATATAATATGAATTAAATTATAGAATTCATTTATTATCATTTATAAAGTTATAATAATTTATACCACATATGGATAATGTTTAACATTATATAGAACATGCTACGTTATCTGATGTTAGTAATTGACTTTTTAAGTATTATTGTTTTATATTCAATCAATATATTTTTAAAACAACTTAAATATATGTGGTCAATTTGTTCATGGATATTGATATGGATAAAAATAATTTTTATGCATCACCTAAAGTTCATATACATTTAAATGCATATCATGAAAATTAATTATTAAATTTTATTCATTTAATGAAAATTATAATATTGAGCTTTTGGTTTCCATAAGGAATCAAGTCCAATGCATATACATTATTTTAAACTATAGGTAATACAATAGTCAATATAGATATTACTATTGACAATTGGCTAGATACTTATAGACATTGTAATGTAATTTGCATCGGGTCTTGATTCTTTATGAAAATCAAAGGGTCATATTATAAATTGATTTTTATATTCAATCTGTTTTAATTTTTGAAAAATAGCACCCTCATGAATTATAAAATGACACACAAAAGGTTATACAAAACATTATGTCGTATACTATGTCTGATGGGATGTGTGTATCAAACGTATAAAATGAGTGAACTTTACTTTGGATACCAAACCACTACTGATGTTAAGTACGAATTGGAGACTACCGTAACTCTCCCGGCTATAACACTGTGCATGAATAAAGTATCGGTCGTACAGCAGGATGTCCTTGATAATTTCTATAAAAATAAGAGTAACCACAAAGACATCAAGGAATATTTAAATACGTTGACTATCCATGATCAGATTGCTATCATGAGAGCACCGGAAGATTTATTTTCGTGTAGCCTACATAATAATAGATATGATGATCGAGATGCACCCAATGATTTATCTTACCTATTTCGGTATCTATATTTAAATTGCTCTAATATAACTCACTATAATATAGGACTAAGTAGTGAAACATATTGTTTGACAATATTTTCCGAGCACCGGGATCAATATCGTAATGGTTATTTTATAAATATTGATAAATTGGTATCTCCATATGTTATTATGTTTACAATCAATAATAAATCCATGGTCATAAACCATTCACTCCATGTAATTGTTCATGCAAACCATGCTATGATACATGACGATTTCAAACGTACCGCTAAACACGTCAATATATCCACGGGTAGTATATGTCGATTGCAATATAGCAAGTCAGTGGTGAAGTACATGTACACCCGTCCCACACACATACGATGTAACGAAACCATTATAAGGGATGAATGTATGAAGAATTGTGTAGACAATGAATTTTATCATAAAACACATGGTTTATCGCCATATTTATGGACACGTGACCTGAATTCGAGTCTCAAGTTTAAGAATGATTTAATCCTGGTTTTTAAATACTATTCATCCTGCTACAAATCATGTGAAAAGAAACAAGATTGTTATAAAGAGTATTATAAACTCAATGTTAAAAATGAGCTATTCAAGATTAATGGTAAACCACGTGGCTCGTATACCTTGGTGCTGGAAGCGCCTTCTGATCCCATGGTTACCTATGAGATACAGCTTCAAATGGGTCCCGAGGAATACATATGCCTTATGGCAAGTATTATAAGCCTGTGGTTTGGGTTATCTGTCATTATTTTTACGGATTTTATTTCGGATTATTCCCTGAAATTAAGAAATTATTTCTATGAAAATAAAAATAAGTTTCAAATTAATTTCATTAAAACTAATAAGCTGTTTGTAAAACAAAATAAATTTGGCACCATTGTACAGCCTAATTTATAAGGTGCAATTGTTTGGTAAGCAATGTTTTGTGGATTATAGCGCTATAATGTTGTATAGCATTTACAAAACTATTACAATATTACATTAATTATAATTGTAAAAGTAAATGATCAGTATAGTTTATTACTTTTATAAATTTATATTAAAAATATTAACGCTAACGCAAAACCTTTTTGAGTTTAAACTATTTAAAATTAAAAACTGTAACCTTTCGGTTGTCCATGTATTGTAGTGATTTGTCATGGCTGACAGTGTAATATGAGAGATGGCCTTATATAGGTATAAATTGATTTGGCACTTAAAGTAACGGATAAGCCTGTGTAATTTATATATAACCTTGTTATTAATAATAAAAAGTTAAATTTTAATTGTTATGGTTTAATAATTAATTTTCTAAAACAACTTAAATATTTATGGTCAATGTGTTTATGGATATTTATGTGTGTAAAAATACAAATATTATTAGTACTAATTACAGAGAGTGGGGACTATAACTATAGACGATTTAATTAATTAAAAATTAATTTAATGAAACTCTTTTTGTGTGTAAGACATATTCAATGAATAGACCATCCCCCTGGACTACCAAACGGCACCGGTATTTCTATCATATCAGTGCCCTCTTAATTGTGGTCATCGATAGTCTGGGCCACCTTTTTTTTGTCATTTTCCAGAGTTCATCGGTATCTTTAATGCCCTTATGATGCCATAAGACTTACTTTAAGAGTTTAAATATACAGAAATCCATGGGTACTATGTCTAGGACCTTAACAGGAATTTTTTTTGACTGGGATATAATATATGCCATAGTTTTGTCACATTTAATTACTTTGGCCATTGAGCAGAGTGTTTGCGGGTTTTCGCGATCCGTTACCCAATCAACGGGTTGTATGGCTCTCGTGGTTCGGACAATAGGTTGTCTCTGTTTTCTTGAACACACATTACCGGCATTTATTGTACTCTTTTTATATCGTTTGATAATCATATTACTAACCGTTGATTTTGTCACATTAATACCGTATTTAGAAAGTGTTTTAACAATTTGACTCATTGAATACTACTCACTGTAAAATAATTTTATATAGACGTCCCTTCCGGACGGGTTTAATCTAATTGTAGTCATTATTTTTTCATATAATTCGGTCTCAAATCAAACACTAATAAGCAAGCTTTCATTTGGTATATAATGCATACAATATTTTTTCAAAATAAAAAAGTTATTACAGTTTAAAATCGTCTATACTTATAGTCCCCACGCTCTGTATACCTGGCACTAATGGCAAGGATTTGATCATTTGGTTCATTGACTCCAAACAATGGTTTTTGGTTTACAACAAAATTATTGATACCCTTAAAACAATTAATTTTATATATTACATATAGTAATATATTTTATTGAATATTTGTTCGACCCATTTCGATTTAATTAATTCTACATATTTAATAATTATCATAATTTTGTCAAACCCATTTATGTTTGTTTAGAGCAAGAACATTTATGAATGGATTAAACCATGCATTAACAAAACTTTTATAATCATAAAAATAGTGATGTATTAAACCTATAATTTTCTTAAAAGTACACAACACTAGTGATACAAACTATTAATACAAAAATTAGGGACTGTGAAATTGCAAGCTATTTTTTATTAATCACACAAAAATACATATTTAACTACTAATTTGTTAACATTCATTTATATTAAAACTAATAATTTCTAATATTTAATTCAAAATATCTATGATTAAACAAAATATTCTTGCATAAAATAAACAAAATTTGTATTATAGTAAATTACTCATTAAAGATTAAAAATGCTAGTGTTGTATTAAATGATAAATAATGACTATGCCTTACAACGCTAGCTTGGCTCTGGAGCCAATGTATGTTAATGTATGGATTAAACCTTAGTTGAACATTCATGGGCTACAGAGCCCAGTTACTAATACCTATAACATTAGTAATTGATGTAGATCAAAAATTTTGTTAATAT